ATTCTGTAAAGAAACACTGAGGCAATAAAAAGGTTAAGATATTTTCCACAGACACACAGGGATTAAGTGGTGGGACTGGAATTCAAACCCAGGAACGCTAAATTCGAATCCTGTTTTCATAACCAAGTCTGAAAGAGAGCGACTCGGTTTCATTTTTATTGAATTTTAAAATAAAATGTCAGCTTACCAAAATCTGAATGATTTCCTCAGGCTTTTTATCCTCAACTGGTATCCCATTCACTTCCCTAAGTTCATCGCCAACGTGAATAAGACCTGAGAAACAGTAAATGCGGTAAATCAGCAGTGTAACCTACAAAAGTAACTGTAATTTGCAGTTGTCTCCACACATCAAGCGTTGTTTGGTTCCCCTAACACATCTGAGGGTTGGAAAGGAGACATTCATGCGTCTCAGCTTTCAGATTCTGTGTCTCTGAATAGCGATGAATCAATGACTATGACATGCTGGACAACAGCCTCTTCCTCTGTGTGTAAAATGCGTGTTATTTGCCCCATATAAAAGAATTCTTACACATTTTTTAAAAGGTTGCATGCTTTTCGCAGTACCTTTCAAAGCAGAAACACTGAAACAAGTCAATATAACTTTGGAAGCCCATGTAAACCAAGACAGTAGAGATTTATTTCTCATTTATTGAAATAGGTTCCCATATTTCAACTTAATGAAAAGTATCTTATTCTTGTTTTGCTGTATTATATCAAAAGATTATTCTCTTTGTTATGTATTGGAAATATTATACATTAAACACATTTTCTTTTGTAAATTGTGCATATGCTCTGCCAATTTTCCTGTAACATTTTTAAGAACTCTCCATACATTACATATTAGCCTTCTGTCATATATATTGAAATCTCTTTTCCTACAATCTTGTTTGTCTTTTAAGTTTCATGTATGGCATTGTTTTCTATACAGAAAGTTTTCCATTCCATAGTCCCATTAGTTATTTTCTATTTGAATTTCTCAACATTAAAGTGTTTCTCTTTTTATTTTTTTTTTAAACCTTACATATCTGTTGGGATACATGACTTGTCTGCATTCGCTTAACATTTAAACTCTTACCGCTTCTGTCCGCGGCCCCTCCTCTCATGATTCTAGCCACAATGATGGCCCCAGTCTGCTCATGTTTCTTAATGGTGGCTCCCTTTTAAGAAAAACGATATTTGTGGGTAAATATATGTGCTGGTGGTATGAAGGGGGAGGCAGAAATAAAGACATTCAGCTGAAAAAACTGAAAACAACTAGAAAAAATTAAAGGAAGCAGGTAGGAGAAATAGACATCATGCCATGTATGTTATAAATGCTCATTACTAGGTATAGAATTTTCTACTGTACTTATCATGTAAAATTTTCAGCAAAATTTAAAGATTTTTAAAATCTAACTTCTTCAACACTATGGAAAGTACAAATATCTTTTTTCCATTATTATATCTTGTATTTGAGTACTACTTGTTTTTACTCTTTTAAAGGATTTCCTCATTTCATCTTTAAAATACCCCCACAAAGAAGGTAGACTATTATAAACAAGGTCAAGAGAATAGAAAATGATTATATAAATTGTAAAACTCAGGTCATCTAACTTTTAGTTCAGTGATCCTTCTATTACAGTATTATAGTAAAGAAGCTCAGTGATAATAATAAAGAAAAACTTAAAACTACAAAGTTAGTTGTATTTCTTACTCAAAACTAATATAAACTAATGGAACAAAGAACTGCTAGTCCAGGGTTTTTATGTACTAGGATTGTCCCTAGTACAAACAGAACATTTTGGCATAAGATTAGGAAACAATTTCAAAATGAATCCAGAAATTCTTCATTTATGGATGTTCAGAAGCAGATTAACTGCATGTTGCTTTGTCAGAACATCAGGCACAAACGGTTACTTTGAACATCCTTTCATGACTTTTCTTTCCAAGAAACCGACACTGGTTTCAAAAAGCTGTTCTACCTTGGATCACGAGGCTAAATAAAAATGCACATTAGGTCGTGGCAAAATTCAACCCCCCCAAGAAAGTGGAATTTTTCTTGTGTGCCAATAAACACATTTATATCACTAAAAAATAGATATGTGAACAAAATTAGAAATCTATTTGTAGCAAGCATATTTAATATATGACAACTATCAGATACATGTCATATTAGTAAAAATCGAATAATTGATAGGATGATTTTTGTAGCATTTTTCATCACCTAAGCATACATTAAGGCCAAAGACTTGAATAAGCATCTCTCCATGGTCATAAACTTTAGAGTTACCAATTACTCGTATTTTCTGCTTTTAAACAGTCAACTTGTAGCCAAGATTACTGGAAATTTAATATTCTTAATACAACTAATTAGTTTGGTTAATTCAACTTTCGTTTCCTTAACAGTGTATCTCAAACTTTCCCACCAAAGTATGGCGAATGGCAGACTGGTCTACTAATGTGATTTAATATCACTTATCCATATTTCACAGTTGAGGAACTGAATTCCGAATGGTTATAATTTGTCCAAACGCAGACAATTACTGTGCAGCAAAGTCAGGACCTGTCTAAGGCAAACTGTTCAGAATTGATTGTCTTAATTACCATTCAATCCTGCTTACCCTATTATCTTAATTGTCATTCAATCCTGCTTACCTTATTATCTTTAACTTTTTATTCATAAGGTCATAAGCTCATTACCCTTGTGGGAGCTTGTTTCTGAGATGGCGGTAATCAATTCTTTCCCTCTTTGTACGCATATGCCATATTCTCAAATCAAACAGTGAAAATGACAAGATGACTTGTAGATGCCACCTGGGCTTCTTCAAACACTTGCTCTACGGGAAACCAGCCGCCATGTAAGAAATCATGGCCAATGCCATGCTGTGAGGAAGTCCAAGCTAGCCAAGTGGAGATGCCACTTGGAAAAAGAGATGCCTCACTACCCTCCAACTTTCCAACCATCCCAACCCAGGTATCAATCATGGGAATGAAGGAACCCTTAGATGACTTGTCTCGGCCACTGTCTAACTGTCCTTGTAAGAGACTCCAAGTAAAAACTACTCAACTGAGCCTGAAAACCTCCAAAACTGTGAGAGATAATAATATATTATTGTTAGTTATTTAGTCACAAAATTTTTGTGTGGTTTGTAATGTAGAACTAGGACTGCAATGTACCTTCCACACTATGGGTTGTACTGTTTTTCAGTATAGGGCCATCCCATTTATTATGCTTAATGCTAGTCATCCTTTTGACTTAGTCTGTAATTCAATGAAGGTGACAAATGTTTACTAAGAACCTACTATGTGACAAGTACTGTTCTAAAGGCTCATGATATCATGATGGGGGAAAAAAAATAAAATAAAAAACCTCAAAGATTTCTGTCCCCTCACGGAGATTACATTCTGACAGAGGGGACAGACAATAAACAAAAATAGAATACTTATATGTTAGAAGGGGGTTCGATGCTATGGAGATGGGTTAGGGCAGGTAAGAAAAATCAGAAGTGCCAGGGCAGATAGAGGGGAGACATTGTAAAGACACAGGCCTCATTGAAAAGATGACATCTGAGTAAAGAAATACTGGTAGGACATGGAGTTAGCCAAAGAGAAAGAACAGAAGATACATCCAGGGCAAATGCACTCAGGTGGGCTGTGAATGGAATGTTCAAGGAAGAGCCAAGAAGCCGGTGGGGCTGGAATAAGGTAAAAAGAGAGAAGCAGGAGGAGGTGAGATCAGATGGTAACAGGGAGCCAGATCATGTGGGCTTTGCAGGTCATTGTGAGGACTCTGAAATTTACTCTGAATGAAACGGGGAGAACCCGCACGGTTCTGAGAAGCAGAAATGACACAATCTGAAAGGATCACTCGACCTACTGTGCTAAGAAAAGGAGTGAGGGAAGGCAGAGGCTAAACCAAGGAAACAAATTGGAAGCTGTTACAATAATCCAAGAGAAATCTGATTGGCAGAAGGAGAAGTAATGAAAAGTGGTCTGGATATAGTATTGTAGAGCCAAAAGGATTTCTCAATGGGTTGGAAATGGAATGGAAAAGAGACAGAGGTATCAAAGATTGACTATGGTTTTTGGCTGAGCACCTGGAAAGATGGAATTATCATCAACTGACAGCGAGAACTAGATCTATGGGTGGAACACATTTGGGGACAAAGACTGGTTTACTTTGGAACATGTGAAGACTGAGATGTCTATTAGACATCCAAATGGAGATATCAAGTAGACAGATGGCCATACAAATGTAAAGATCAGAAGAAAGATCTGGAAGAGAAATAGCTCTGGGAGTCATTAGCACACAGATGTTGTTTAACGCCATAGGCTGGATGAAATCTCTTCCAGAATCTGTAGATAAAAAAAAGCACTCCACACATAAGGGTTATTTTGTTACAGATGCATACCCTGAAGGAGAATACATTGCTATCTGCTGATTCTCCCTACCCTTGGATGGTAAACTAGGAGCCTGAGGCACGATCTCTCACTTTCTACATGATACTAGCACAACTCAATCTTCTTGTGGATCCCTTCATTCCTGAAGATATCTATTTCCATATTGCTTTTGAAACCCTTATTATCACAATTCCTTGATGTAGTGCTAGTACAACATACTTGCATGAAAATAAAATCAAAACTCATTAAAATAGAGCACATTAAATGCAATATTATACAAAAGTTAACAGAGCTAAGGCATAAGATTTAAGAGATTTTGACAAAAAATAAGGGTAGAGAGAACTTCAGATTAGATTAAGAAGTTAAAATTCTCGTTAGATTTTTGTTGCCACTTCTGTAAATGGTTTATGAAAGAGGACTGGGCTACCACGATCTCCTTGAATAAAAACTGTATGTCCTATAACACTGCCAATATTGTAAGACCTCCTTAAGCAGGTAGCACATCGATTTCAGGTTGAACCTCTGAAATAAATGTTTTCGAAGTATGGTTTACCAAATATTTGCATCGAAAACTTCTGAGACACTCTTTAAAATCTAGATTCCCAGGCCCCACCCAAAACTTACTGCCTCTTTGGGGCAGAGGCACAGAAGTCTATATTTTAAGTAAGCACCTGCAGTAATGCTCATAATACCAAAGTTTGAGAACCACAGTTCTAAAATAAGCCAGAGGACAAACCATGCAAGAAACGCTGAAAACTTAGGATCGAATCCACCCAACAACAAATTGCACTTTCTTAAGCTTGTCTAAAAATTAATCTGGATAAAACAAATATGAAATGCTCCCCGCACATAAGGGAGGGAGGACAGCTCTGCCCCTCGCATCCTGACCACTGTTTTTCTCCCCTTCTCTCAATTCTTTTATCCATCCTCCCCTCACACTGTCATCCTCTTCCCTTCGCATTGCCAAATGTCCACATGACCTTTGTTTACTGCCTCTTCTCCCAGGAAACCATCCTCTGCTTAAACAGTTGTCATCGACTTTGTCATTCTATGTGACATTTATATAACGTATGCCTAACACGTAAGAACTTATAAAACATTGCAAATACATTATAACTCAGTTGACATTTAAAACACTCCTGAGGAGGTACAGCTCCTGATTTTCTGATCAGGAATATGAGGCTGAGATGTTAAGTGACTTACTGCTGTAAAGATATAGAGCAGAAAGTGATACCCTATATCTCCCACTTAGGTCATCTAATGCAAGCTTCATATTCATTTTGCCACATTATTTTTGGGTCTAATAAACAAAATTATATTCTTAACACTGATAACCTAACCCATTCATTGCTAAAGTTTACTGCCTCTTCTTCTGAATCATTTGCCAAATGGCTCCTGACCATCCACTTGTATGAATTTTACTCCACCTTGGCTTCCCTTCCCTTACCTATTTCTGATTCTTACTTCTTGACTTATTTTCCTAAAGATGCCTCGGACTCAGTCTTCTCTTGGTCTCTGCTTCCTTCCCCTCTTGGCAGTTTTGTGGCTTCTCCAGTAACTCCCAAACTGATATATGACATTTGATAAATGTAAAATGACAACTTTGTTAAAAATAAATATTTTCTACTTTTTTGGGCACTGCATTTTTTAAACTTTAAATTTATTCACCCAATAATCCTACTTTACCTTTACAATAATTGTCAAACTGAAGATAATACAGTGATTATACATTTGGATGAGAAAAAGTTCAAGACAAGTAATTCTCCTTATTTGATTTCCTATTCCAATGTTAAAACATTTTAAATCTTAATACTTTTCTCAAGAATCTCGACATAATTTGGGGAATTTCTTCATTCCAATTAGAAGTCTTATTTTCTGTATGAAGCTTTTATTTATTTTTACAACACAGCTCTTGGGACAGAAATCACACAATCGAATCATGGCTCACTAGAAAGAAGACGAAGCATCACTAAAATAATTTTAAGTAAAATAATTTAAAAAGCATTCAAAATTATTTTAAATTGCATTAAATGTAGAAAACTAAACCTAGAGTTTAAAGAAGTTATCTGCATATGTTTGGAGAGGGAAAGCTTTTACTAATTCACTTTTAAATAATTAACTGAAATTCAGAGAGAAAAAATTAAAAATCCATGTAAAAATGGGCAAATAAGCAGAATGTGAATTAGGGATAAAATAAAATGGAACTAAAATTCGTAAACACCCAAATTTAAGGGGAAATGGAGAGGAAAGTGCTATTAAGTATATTACAAAATATATGCCAAATTACACCATAATATACTAATAAACTGAACAATTTTGAGAAATGCTTACACTAACCCTGAATACACAAATATTATAAACTTGGAAAATACTCTCTTGCTTACAAGAAAAATTCATTTTTTAAACAGCTTCATCAGTTTAACCTATTTTTAAAGAAATTTCCCTGGTTCCTTTTCCTAAATGTCTAACCTCCTCCTAGCACCCACATAGCCCCACAGGCTCAGTATAACCATAAGAAAATTAAGTCACTTTTATCCCCCATGCATTTCCTTTTATTTTTGCTGGTTAAGTATACAGTACTGCTAGTCACCTAAATATAAACCGCCTGTGGTACTACTGACTTCCTCTTTCCTCTGGCCCTCTACATCCAAAGATTTGCCTGGTCCTATCAAATGTAACATGTGGTTCTTGTTGCTGTCCTAGTTCAAAGTCTCATTTTAAACACACTGTATTATATAATACATAACAAAAGAGGGTGATAGATGAAGATTCACCAACTCAAAGTTAGGTCTAATTATTTCAGTTGTGACATGCTTAGTAACAAACTATGATAACATAACTTTAGATTATTTTATATACTTCATTCAATTTGTTTAAATTTAAACTAATTTACAGTAGGCCCAGTTACACCTTTTGTGAAATCTTGATGCAATGTATTCCTAGTTTCTTTGATAAACATTTCGAAGATCTTATTTTATCGGGAGGCACGGGACTTAAATGTTGCTGATGACTGTTTTAAATGTTAGCTCACCAAAGCAGCACACTAAAAACTACTCCTTGGGGAAACTAGGACTGATCAAAAAAATCATTAATGAATTATTGAACTCATAAAGATGGTTTTTAATTATCTCCCAAACTTTGACTAACACGTAAGAACTTATAAAACATTGAGAGGTTGAATTCATCAAACAAAAATGTATTTCATATTGACAAACAGATGCACAGAATCTACTAAGAATTAGTCACTTTGTGGTGGTAGGCTGGGATAGCTCTTTCTACATCAACACAAGTACCACCTATTCTTACTAAGTATATCACCTTTATAATAAAAATCGACAGCTGTTTTACGTCACCAGCATAGAAGTATAACCACAGACGAAAAGCAGGAAGTTATAATCAAAATTAAACAATCTTAGCCAGGAATGCAGGGAGCCCTGGATGAGCTTCAGAGGCTTAATAAACCTCCTCATATAATATGCAAACTTATCTGTACATTTTTCTGGGTAGGAGTGTCCAATGCATTTATCGACATGCCAAAGTTGCCCTAAAACAAAACAAGAGGGCAAAAACTACCAAAAAGAGAAAGATATCAAGACACAATATGGTGTAGAAGAAAAAAACTAGTATTTGAAGATAAAGAGCCAAGTCTAGATGGATCTTAGTTCTACCACTTGTTAGCTGTGATACTTGAGGTAAGTTGCTTTGCTTCTCTGAATGTGTTTCCTAGTCTGTAAAGAGAGAAACCATGATCTTCATGCCAATTATGAGGATTAAATATAATATATGTAAAGTACTTAAAATAATGCCCGGCAACTAACGTATTACCAACTGCTACTTGCTACTGATTTAAATGTGCCCCATTTACCCTAAGTAGGATAAATTTATTTTTCTTTTAAATGAAATTTTTCTTTTAAATGTAGTTTCATAAAAATATGGATACACTGCATTCACTCCCTATTGCTGCTATAACAAATAACCACAAATGTAGTGGCTTAAAACAACACAGATTTATTATCTTACAGTTCCGGAGGTAGGAAGGCCAAAATGGGTATCATGGAGCTAAAATCAAGGTTTCAGTAGGGCTGCATTCCTCTGGAGGGTCTAGGAGAAAATCCAGTCCTTGACCGTTCTATTTTCTAGGAGCTTCTGGCATCCTTTCACTCACAGTCACAGCACTCCGACCTTTGCTTCCATCATCGCAACTCCGTCTGTAACTCTGACCCTCCTGCCTCTTTCTTTCACTTTCATAAGAACCCTCGTGATTAGCCTGGGCCCAGCAGATAATTCAGAATAATCGCCCCACCTCAAGATCCTTAACTAATCATGGAAATCCCCTTTTGCCATGTAAAGTAACATATCTACATGTTCTTTAGATTAGGATGCGACGTCACTGGGAATTGGGGTGGGGGACATTATTCTGTCTATCATAGATCCTTTAACATAATTCAACATTGTATAAATTCTGGTGCTAAAATAAATGGTGACATTTACATTTTGAAGTATGAGACGCTTGAACAATTTCTCATTACTATTAAATAAGTAGGCTTTTTAGAAAAGCCATAAGCAATTATTTTTGGTTGCACCATTTAATCTCAAACCAACTGTGACTGGTGCATGTTATTTTATACTGTCTCATAAATGTCAACAAGTTACATTTTAAAAATTACTGCTATTTATAACCTCTATTAATGCCTATCATTTGGCTTCATTTTCATTTTTCTAAATTATATTCTTTAGAGGAGAAAGTTCCATTTATTTTAAAGTTTGAAGACACAGAAAAAGTATATTTTAAAGAGAGAAATATATAGAATGTCCCCCATCAGATATGGCTTTATCACGATATCTACTCATATCTGAGCACAAGATGTAGACCAAAACTTACCAGTGGTTCTCTATTTTTGACAAGGCGGATGATTTTTACTGAGTCTTCCTCATCATCAATATCATCAGGCATAGGAGGCAATACAGGATCATAATTCTTCTGAGCCACGGTATCATGTACAGAGAGCAATGCCTATCAGAGTCAAAGTTTGGTAAGAAAATATATATATATATTAATCAAATATAAAACCCCAAACCCTTCAAACTATAAAATCAAATCGATGTTATAATTTTGACATAACAATGGTAATAAGGCAACCATTTGAAAAAGTCTCTTACAAACAAGGAATATATAGAACAGCAGAAGACAGTTCCACTTAGCTGCCACCCCCATCCCCAATGCAATTAATGTATGACAAAAATCAGCATAAAATATCTCCTAACCTGTGTGTTCTCTGGTTCATCCATATAAGAGTGGCAGTTGGGGACATGGTGGGCGGGGCGGGGGGGGTGTCAATTTTGAAAAGAGGGAGAAAATTAGGCTATAGACATATTGCCCATGAGCCAATAGGAGTCTGAGAAAACTATGTATTTTCTTTCCTACTGTTAGCAGAAAACACAAAAATAACTGATCAATATGATTGACTAGCTTTAATTCTTTTGTTGTTTTCTCACTTTTTAATTTTTAGTGTAATAGGTGACCAAGACACTAAAGAGGTAAAACTCCACAAAACACCATCATATTGTCGTTATAGACCAAAAATTAGAAAAACACTGGAACCTTGACATGACACTACTCACTAAGTGAGCAGGTCTAGACTTATAACTAATTTGCTCCCTAACCAGCAACATCATAAATTACTCTAGCCAGAATCCGAGAAACCATCCTTGAAATCTCCTCTCTTACCTACACTTCCAAGATCTAATCTGTATCCTGTAAATCCACTTCCAAAATGAATGCTCTCTAGTCTAGATCAGAGGTTGACAGACAATGCCACCTGCTTCTGTAAATGAAGTTTTAATGGAATACAGCCCTGCTCACTCACTGATATAATGTCAATGGCCACTGTCACCCTCCAATAACAAAATTAAGTAGAAGCAAGAGACACTTTTCACATAAAGACTTGACAGACCCCTGGTCCAGATCATTGATGCCATTGTTGATCTATGCAATAACCTCTAAAGAATCCAAATGCATTTATTTATCTTTGGCTCATTTTTAAATCCTTAAGTCAGTGTTGCCAAAGTGATTATTTTAAAACTAGATAAAATCACATAACTGGCCTGCTAATAACTCTTCTAAAGTTTTCCTCTGATCTCGGGATAAAGATCAAACTTGAGCACGTCCTAGTCTTGCATTTCTCTCCAACTGTACTTTATACCGCTCTCCTCACTCGGCCAAAACATTCGATATAAAAGCTGATCACCTGGTTACTTGATCTTGTAGTGCCTTCTTCTTTGCCTTCATACATTCATAATTCATAACCATATATTTTTATGTGCATATATTTAATATTTCTATCTACCGAAAGAGAAGCTCTAAGTGACAAATGATGTCTAGTTTTTAAGTTTTATTAACTGTAATGTAATAAATGGTATCTATTTCTTAATTAAGCTTTTTATTGACCATAATATATATATACAGAAAAGTACACAATTCACACATTCACAGCATATTTTCAAAAATGAATATTCCCATGTAAACATTCCCCAAACAAGAAATACGACATTAATTGAGTCTCAGAAGCCCCCGCTTATGCCCCTTTGTAGTCAGCATGCCCTCTATTCCTCTGAAGGTAGTAATTTTGCCTCAATTTACATACTGCATAAATAGAATTTTAAGTGTGTATTTATTTTTTCCCTGATATTAAGTTGGTGAGAACCATCCATACTATTACTGGTGATAGCATTCACTTTTCATTGTTACGTAGCATTTCGACATATGAATGTTTCACAGTTTCTTTACCCATTATGCCCATTGCTGAGGGACATGTAGGTTGTTTTCATTTCTTGACTATCATAAATAATAAATAATGCTGCTATAAATATTTCATATTGTTTGATGCATACACATATTTCTATGTATAATGTGGTTAAGTATATTTAAGAGTGGACTCTCTGGGTCATGGGTTATAAGTATATTCATTCAACATTAGTAGACAGAAAGTTTTTCAAAGTGTTTGTCCCAATTATTTTGTCCCCATTATACCCCCACCAACAGCATTAATAAGTTCTGTGATCCCCCAACAATTTACATTATTAGTTTAAATTTGGCCATTCTGAGTGTGTAGTGGTATCCTCTTGGGGTTAAAATTTCATTTTTCTTACAACTAATGATATTGAAAACCTCCTCTTATGTTTATTAGGAATGTGCATACCTTCTTTTGTGAGATGCCAGTTCAAGACTCTTGCATGTTTTTCTATTCCATCCATCTTTTTCTTATCAATTTGTAAGAATTCTTTATAATATATTGGATCCAAGCTTTTGTTGGTTAGCCATGCTATGAATACATTTTCCCTTTTTGTAGCTTGCCCTTTCACTTTCTTCTTAGTGTTTTTGATCAACAAAGGATCTAATTTTAATGAACATAATTAATATTTTTCCTTTCTGGTTGGAGCTTTTTATATCCAATAAGAGTTTCAAAGAGAAAGAATGAAGAAACCCAGACTTAGATACATTATAGTGAAAGTGCACAATGTTAAAGGCAAAGAGAAGATCTTAAAAATAACAGAGAGAAAAAAAAGATCATCAGAAAGAAAAAAATTGAGAGCTGACCGATCAGCAGCAGCAATGGAAATCAGAAGACAGTTAAATTACTTCAAAAGTGCATAGAAAAAAATAATAGCCAGCCTAGAATTGTATATTTAACAAAAGTATCATTCAAGAATGAGAATGGGGGCGGGGGGGGGCGGCGCTGAGAAAACTTAAAAAAAGAAAAAAGGATAATACGACCACGGTTTTTGAAAACGCTGGACATCAGACAACAAAGGATGGTGACCACTGAGAGACAGGAAACAAACATGAGTCCTATGATTGCCCCATTTTACTACATAGAGAGTTTCCTGGCTGTGTCAGAGGAAGAGGAACCCAGGCAGGAAGCAGTGGTCTCCTCAAGTTGGAAAAAACAGCTGAGAATCCAAGGAGGTCAAGTGGTAAAGTTCTCAGGGGTATGAGAGAGGAGAGAACTGCCAGGGTCAGAGCTCTGGAGATCTGCAGGGGGCCTCCTTGAGTCCTTAGCCAGGTACTTAACCAAAGATAATACAAGAGAAACTACCAGAAAGGACTAGAGCAATGGTTCTTAACTGAGGGCAATTTTACTCACCCGGAACCATTTGCCAATATCTGCAGACATTTTTGATTTGTCAAAATAGAGGCCAGGGATGCTCCTAAACATCTGATAACATATAAAACAGTCCCCTGCCCCAACAAATAATTATCCATCCCCGAAACGTCAATAGTTTTAAGGTTCGGAAACCCTGCATTATAGGTTTCCCCTGCGATCTGAAAGTAGAGCATTCCTATGAAAACTTTCCTAAACCTAAAATGACATAAAGCAAAGGGGCAATTACTATTAATTTGGATGGAAAAATTTTTGAGCGTTCCCAGAACCAAAAAATAACTATCAAAAATGAAATTTAAAAAAGTGAAAAATTGTGAACAAGATATTATCGAGCTGTAGAACAACTTCAATGGCCTAATATATAGCATAATTGGCACCTTCAAAGAAAGGAAGGGTGCTAAAAAAATTTGAAAAAATATGGCAGAAAATATTCCAAACATGCTGAGGAAAAAAAGCCCACATCTTCAAGAAGCTCAGTGTATCTAACCATGAGAAATGCAAAAGAAGTAATACCAAATTGTTTAAAACCAGTGAGAAAGTCATCCAAAAGGGGGAAAAAGTACATTTCTAGCAGAAAAAAGCATACACACACACACACACACACACATACATACACACACACACACACACTTATTTATATGTATATTTCCTTTTTATTTATATATAAATATTTCATATAAATATATAAAGGGAATATACATGTTCCCTTTTATTTATATTATTTGTATATAAACATATATATTTATATATCCATGTATATATTTACATATTTATATTTACATATAGATCTATATTTATATATCTACATCTATCTATAGATCTATAAATATATATATAAAGATAAAAATGACAATACACGTCTCATATGAAAGACAAGCTGCAAGACAATGGAGCAACATCTTTAAAATACTCAGAAAAATACTGTCAACCTAAAATTCTATACCTAGTAAAAATATCTTTTAGAAATGAAGGAATATTGAAGACTTTTTAAAGACATACAAAAGCTGAACAAATTCATCACCAGCAGAAAAAAAAAAAAAAAGTTACATCTTTCAAACAGAAAAAATGGCAGCAGATGGGACTATGGATCTATACAGAGGAATGAAGAGTACCAGAAATGTCCACTATCTAGACACCTATGGTAACTATCTTATATATATATACAAAGTAAGAATAGAGATAACTAATGAATGCATTTTAAATGAATATTGTAGTTGATAGGCAATATTAAGAATACCAGCTATGTATTTTTCTTCCTTTGCTTTGTGTTAAGTTCCATGTCTAGATTTCGAAATATAATTTTAAGATTAATAGACATCAAGTTCCTAATTTTTAATAGCTTTGCTTTACAACTATTTTTGGTTGTAAAAGCAACATTTCTATTTCGGACAACTAAAAGTAACTTTGTATTCCATTTTCCTGTTTTAACTATGGTGGCTTTACTCTTTAGTATACAGATTTTCCTTTTAAAAGGCAATACCTAAATGAAAATTGTGTTTCCATATGTCCTAAATCCCAATCACAATTGATGGGTTTACCTGTCGCTCAGAATAATCTGCAGGAAATTGAACACTTGACCTTGTAACTCATCAGGCTCACAAGCTCTCATTGCCTTGGAATCCCTGAAGTCATTTCTATGTTCTAAGTATCTCTCAGGTCCACAGAATTAAGTGTCTAACTCAGAAGGATGAGTAACATTGATTTATTCCTCCAGAAGGAAGCTTAACTTTTCCCTTTAGCATGCTTTAATGAAACCTCATCCATTCTGCATGCTCAGGCAATGAGTAATTCACTTGTAGGTGAATGCTTTGGAAAGCTGAAAAATTACAACAAATCTTTTTATTTTATTGCCTAATACGGATCTACCGAATTTTCCCCAACTTCCTAAATTATAATACCATGTTCTAAAAATGATGTCACTTCCCTGTTTTATCAAAAATAAGCCACAGAATGATGACTCATAGGGTTTGATTTGCCTTTAATGTGACAATTTGATGCCTAGGAATAGTTCTTATTTATTGATGACTCCCTTTGCTTCCCGTAGAAACAAAGTCTTTGTAGAGATCAACAAACCTCCATCGGTGCCCCCGAATGCCACCAACATTATTGCTGATGGAATGGTCCATCGCTAAAGGAAGCTTTCACATTTTATTATTTATATATAT